TTTCAGTGTGGACAGAGATGCTTCAGAGCAAACATGAATCGATGAGGAGTCAGAGGTAGCTTTTATCTGCATTTGTTTGAACTAAAAGGTTTTAGAAACCACCTTCTGTAGTGATTTGGCTAAGCCGATACATTCAACTTGAGACAATAAAACGGCAGAACAAATCCAAAGACGCAAAGTGAGGGCACTGTGAGGGCACTGGCAGGACACCCACATGTGTGCGCACAAGCACGCACACGCGCGCACACGGCAGCCTGTGTGCAAAAATTCCTTTCTGTGTCTGACACTGGGTACCCCAACCACAGACAGTTCATGTTGTGTCTGGATAGCGCATGTATTTCGAACCGAATGGTGTCAGAAGACACAAGGGGCTCACTGGGCCCAAGGTCTCTCTGGCATCCAATGGGTGCATCACAAATGACGGTCTGGCACAGCAATGACCTCACAGCTTTAAGCTGAGGCCGGCCCAGAGAGTTGCAATGGAGGCCCGTGTGGTCTGTTAACACCAGCCAGGCTGAGCAGATCTGCCCAAGCTGACAAAGGCCAGATGAAACTGGAAAAACATACTTCAGGGGGCCTGGCAAACAAGGAACTGAACAAACCAATAGAGCCCCAAAGCTAATCCTCCTAAGTTCGAACCTTCAAGTCTCAAAGAGCACGCTGTGCTTTTCGCCGGTGGAAACTTCTTGTCAGAAAGCAAGTCACTCAGGCTGGTCCTTCACCATGCTCAAAACATAGAGCCGAGGAGACGAGACTTCGGTCCGCACAACTCTAGCACATAATACTGAAAGGAGCGGCCGGACCGCTGGAGAGGCAGCACCCCACATCCACATCACGTCTGCCCCGTGATCTATTTACAGTCACTTCAGATGAGTACAGCAGGTGTGGAGTTGGAAAGATGAGGGCTGACAAGAGATCAGTGCAATGGTTTTGAGCTAAACAAAATCTCCTTACAAAAGAGTCAGCATGCACGCAACAGGGACGCCCGCGACAGAGCCACACGTGCGCCATCCACGGTGAAGCGTCTGCTGGCACGACAGCGTGGTTACTTCAGGGAAGGGCTTCAAACATAAATGAGACATTTGCACAGAGCGGGGGAGAGGGGTCTGCTTCCACTTATAGTGTATTCCTTTTCTCATGAGTCAGGGGTCACAGCAACACTTCTTATGGCTTGTCTGGGCCACCGGGATGGTCCACTGCCTGGATTCCATCAAAGTTGAAAGCCCCTCCTAATGTAACTGCCTTAGGGGTAGCTAAATGCCCGTGAAAAATCCTTGTAACAATCCAACAGGCCAAGGTCATGCTGAAAGACACATCCAGTCCCTGAAGGCTCCTGGGACCAGCCAGTGCCACCACCACAGGGCTCCCAGGAGAGGCCACCCATCTCTAAGGCCTCTAGGACACTCGGATGTCCTCACTGTCTGACTCATGGCCGGTCTACCCTTAACACATCGTATCAAATATAGAATTTGATTGAAAAACTGCCTTGTAAAAATAAAATTCAAATCACCCTGCAGATCAATGCAAAAGCACACTGCCGCACCTATAAGAAAAACAATTCATCCAGAAAAACTACATCTGTGGCTTTCAAAAATAAAGCATTCGCAAGCTTGAAGGTAAACATTAGGTAATTTTATAAAAGTTGGGGGAAATAATCTCTACCGTGTCCATCAGGTACCACATGTGCTGCAACAGCCAGAACAGGCGAGAGCAAATAAATACCAACACTTGATTTAAAACAACACAACAAGAGACAACAGCAATGCTGCCCATGCCCGCTGCAGGGGCCGACTTCTCGTGAGCATTCAGTGACAGGTAAACACCGGAAATAGCAGTGTTGGGCCAGCTGTAGACAGCAGGGAGGGCACTGGCCGCCCCACCCCCCACCCCTGGTGGTGCCCCAGGCCTGCGGGCCAACGAGCCAGCAAGCAGGTGGACATGAGGAGCGGCCGAGCAGCTGGATCTGGAGAAGGCAAAGCAGACCCTAAAGTGGTATCGAAAGTGTGTGTGTGAGGACTTCCTCAAGAGGAGAAAGCCAAACCCCTTTCTAAAAGCACAGGTATGCTCAGCTTTACAAGCTGATGGGAACCAGGAAAATCTGGGCTGGTAACACAGTGACAAGATGGGATTTTTGCTACTATTACTTAGGGTTCATCTACAGAACGGGGACTTCTTGTCTCCCTTGAGTTTCGCATCGCTGCATGTTGTAGACAGTGGTAAAGGGACAGAGTTCATGACTGGCTTTAACAAGTGAGTATCTTACATGTACTAGGAAGAACTCCAGCAGGAGAATCTAATTGGTAGCCTCTCTTACAGAGACAGGCACGTCCTAGTTTTCATTCTAAGTGGATCCAGAGTGCTACAGCATAATCTTCACATTCAGTTTGCTTAAAGCAAGGCACACCTTACTAACAGTGGGGTGGGGACACAGCCAGCAGTCCTCAAACTGGACCAGGTATCACCTTGGGAGACCCAGAAGGTGAGGGAGTCCCAGGTCACGGGTACAGGTGCAGGCAGGGGACAGTCTCCTGAAGAACAGGACCTGGGCTTCTGCTGCCCTGTTCGCACTGTCTCAATTTATGCTAAAAATGGGGTAGGGGTGGGTAGAAACTTGGGGACACAATTATTTACCTGAGAAATTGGAACTACAGCCATTTAAACTCCGGGCCGTCAGACAAGTGGGACAACATGTAGCTAATTCAATCAAGGGCATTTGGTCTGGGGATGGTTTTCCCAAGAATGCCATGAAAAAGGCATGGGTTATATAAAGTACTTTTTTCCCAAGTACTTTGACCCACTGAAAAGAAAACTTATCCTTTAAGATGATAAAAACAAAACAAGCCCCCCACCCGCCAAAAAAAAAAAAAAAAAAAAAAAAAAAAAACCCTCCCAGCTCTGATTCTCTACCTCCCAGGTATGAGCTCCATGGGGTTCTTCCCTGTTGGCCACAGGGGACAGCCTCAGAAAGCCTTCAGAGCCACAGGTATGGTCTAAGATGCAGGTGCCCAGAGGGCCATCAGCGCCCAATCCAGAGACTGGCAGAAGGCCTGGGAATCTGCACTTTAACAAGCTCACCTACATGACTGAGATTCCCGTGCCAAAGGCTAGAGACACACTTTTGAGACACATGGTTCTAAGAATGGCTGAAAACACCTAATTTCAGATTCTAATAGATTGCTAGTCAAAAGAATCCCTCTTCAACTTGACCACTGACCATGCTTGGTGAGCTAAGAGCTTTTTTTTTTGTACCCTTCTATAAACAGTGAGAAAGTGCCGCTTGCTAACGAGACAACTGGCAGCAACAGTGCTTTCTAGACTGGAGGTCTGTCACTTTAAAAGACTTTTAAAGACACAGCAAGAAGAGATCAATGTCATCAGTAAGACACCCACATGCATACACAGACACATACCCCACCGAGCATATGACTCGCTGGGTCACTGCGCCCGCCGCTCCTGCCAGCTCCAATGCAGGTGGGCATTGGGGCAGAGATGGCACCATGTCCTCCATCTAGCATGAGATGCCACGGGGGGGAGACCCTCACTCCACCAGGCAGGGCCAGAGGTAATATCACACAGGGCTGGGGGTGGGGAGGATCAGCAGGGACAGAAGATAACTAGAGAGCACAAAGCGGGCAGGAGAAGGTTCAAATCTTTCCTGAAACTTGTACAGGGAACACAGACCTGCTCCTTCCTCAGCCTGGGAACAAGAACACACCCCACTGGGCACACACTGCGACAGCCGCTGGCTGCCTGCGCAGAATCACTCATGGTGCCCCCCTCAGTGCAACGGTTTCTAGGTTGGCAAACCCACTTCGGGGCCCAGATTTGAATCCCACCAGAGCAGCCTGTGCCTTTCCTGCTGGCCTTGCCCACGGCCAGCCACTCAGGCAAGCATCACTCCTGCTTGTCAGCCCCACCAGCAGAGCCACCACTGGCAGCTCTCTCTGTTTCAGTGCATAGATCCTATGAAACCCGCCTACCGAAACCACACACCGAGAAGTGCACTCTGACACGTGAACTTGTTTCCCAGCAATGGAAGAATAAATAAATCCCATTTGTGCTTCATCGGCTGAGCGACATACGCAGAGGAGGCAGGGGGAGGGTGGACAAGTGATGGGTGAGCACACCATCCTCCCTTCCCAGAGGTACAGGCTAACAGTCCACACTGGGGGCACACATCACTGTCACGTGAAGCCAGTTGCATATTCCCGTACTCAACCACTAAAAGCCGTAAGAGGTGGCCCGTCTCCGGGCTCCAAAGCGCTCCTGGTATGTGGAACAGGTCACAAGAAGCATCCCATAATCAACAAAGGAAAACAGCGTCTACCTATCACATTAATACTGCAAACCAGATATATATATTTTTCTCTTACATTAAAGACATAACAGTGGAAAAGGATTGTACTGTATTGATCACCACAGACCCGTATTCTTTAGAAACTTTGGAAAATAAACGTCACAGTCCTACAGGACAAATCTTATGATTAGACTGTCAGTATATTGTCTTTCTTCTCTTTTTAAATAAATTTTTATTAAAATGGCACTTGTCTGCCAATTTCTCTGGACCTGTCACTTCTGTAAACACACGTGGCTGTCCTCTGCCACTGCTCCTTTGTTTAGGACTCAGGGGTAGGCAGTGGCAGTGTGAGAGACACCTGTGGGTACCTAGCATGGCCACCTGCGCTGGGGCTGCAGAGCGTGTGGCACTCCTCGGAACTCAACCTTAGTGACAATGTCAGAAGGGTCAGGCTTTAAAACCCCAATGGTGTTTTGTGTTGCTTTCTTAAAACGTTCACAGCTAGTTTGAGCCCATCAATTTCATAGAGAATCATGTGTTAAAAACAAGTAAATTGAATGACCAAATAAATTAAAAATGTTTTAAAGCCCTGAGTTCATAGACTGGTTTTAGGAGATTTTTTTTTTTTTTTTTTTTTTTTTTTTTTTTTTTTTTTTAAAAACACGGGATTTTTTTTAAAAAAAACATTTTTATTTTTTTGACATTTTTTAGGAAACACGGGACTCTATTTCAATAAGCAGCTTATAGATTTTGGCAAACCATATTTCCTACGACAGTGGGGTCTCATACAGGTCTGCAGTTCAAAATCCAAGTTTGAAATCCGGGACGGAAGGCATTCTGGAAAATGGAGAATCTAATAAACCAAGACGTCTCATGTTCGATGCTGGCTGTCAGAGAAGGGCTGGGCATCTGTTGGTCTGAGTGTAGCTGGTCTCATGTGAATCCAACTTGGTGCACAATCGCTGAACTCTAGAACACTTCAAGCAAAGTACATGGTGCGCAGCGTGTCCTGATGGACCTGGACCGCCTTGGCCAGCGCTTGGTGGTCTCGCCCATTGCTCTGCCCGGAGGTATGGCTTCCTTCAGCACTGCAGGGACCCGAGAAGGGGGAGAGAGAATGCAGCCTTTAGTGGACAACCAAGTGAGAACCACGAGCCAGGTGCAGAAGCGACAGCATGAGCTCACAGTCAGCCACGGCCACACAGCTGACACGTGGCCCCAGAGAGGCCAGCAGTCGGGGAAGTCTGTGGCAGTCAACCCCAGCCACTTCCTTCTTTGAAAAAGCACCTGACAACCCCAAGAGATGCGGGCCCTTCGGCAACTGCATCCAGGTGTGACCCTCACCTGTCATGCTCTTTATCCACCAGGTGGTACCTGGCCCGGAAGGCCACCAAGTGAGCATAGTACGCTGGAGCCGGGATGGACACAGAGCGCGTACAGCGCACGTAGGTGTGACACAGCTGGTAGGTTAGAATCTGCAGCTCGTCAGAAGAGAAACGATTGTCATCCCAAAGGACATGGTAGTGGGAAGGCCGGCTTGTCCCCTGAAAGAGATTGCAAGACCAGGCAAACCCACCATGAGACTCTGATTGATGAGAAGATGTATCTACTTTTAATTTAATTTTATCATTCTTATTTTATTTGTATGAGTGTAAGTGCACCCATGTCATGCAATGCCCGTGGAGGTCAGAAAAGAGCATCGGATCCCTTGGAACTGAAGTTGCAGACAGTTGTTAGCCACCATGTGTGTTCTGGGAATCGAACCCGGGTCCTCTGCAAGAGCAGTCAGTGCTCTTAACTGCTGAGCCAGCTCTCTAACCCCAAGAAAGTATTTCTATTGAGCAAGGCACAATGAGGCATGCCCATAATCCCAGCACCTGGGAGGCTGAGGCAAGATCAGTCCTTCCCTCTCTCCTTCCAGACCCAGGCCGTGCCGGCCTGGAAATCAGTTCTCCTGCCTCAGCCTTCAAGGTGCCAGAATTATTGGCAAATGTCACTATGGCCAGTTCATAACCAAATATTAAATGTGGCCATAATTCAAAATAGCTAGCAGAGAGGATTTTCAGTGTTCCTAATACAGAGAGCTGATGACATGCTGAGGTGACTGAGGGTTACCTCACATATGGCATATATCGAAGTATCATTCAGGGCTGGAGAGATGGCTTGAATCCCAGCACCCTTAAGGCAGCTAACAACTGGGGATCCAATAGCCTCTTCTGTCCTCCTCGGGCATTGCACGACACAGATGCACTTACACACAGGCAATATACACACACACATAAAATAAAAATAAGTTTAAAAAAAAAAAAACATCGCTGGGCATGGTGGTGCACACCTTTAATCCCAGCACTCAGGAGGCGGAACTCTGTGAGTTTGAGGCCAGCCTGGTCTACACAGCGAGCTCCAGGCCAGCTGGGGCTACATCTCAAAAAGACCAAGCCCCGCCCCCCCCCAAACCCCATCATTCAAATGACACATATAAAATGTCATAGTACACAGCACACCCCCATAAATATGCATACTCGTAAGAAATAAAGATCATCAGAAGAGGCTGAACTGAGGACAATGCCCTCTGATGTACCAGGTTTTCTACAATGATTTATTTATAGTATCAAGAGATAAGAAATTTCCCATTAAAGCTACATATTAAAACTAACACTTTAAAAGTTGTGGAGTCGGTCAAGAGCAACTGATGCTCTTGCAGAGGACTTGGGTTTGGTTCCCAGCACCCACATCAAGCAGCTTACAACCACATGTAACTCAGGTCCGGGGGGATCTGATGCCTTCTGGCCTCTGCAGGCACCTCTAACACACACACACACACACACACTGCATATAAACTCACACAGGCATGAACACATACACATACTTTTTTAAAGGTGGGAGGAGCTGGAATACTTTTGACTCACTTTTCCCTCCACAGCCTTCTACAAGGGAAGAGTGCCACTCCACTCAGGGCACCCAAAGCTGAGCCCACTAGACTCAGCTCCTCCCTGCCCACCTGCCGCCGGCCAGCTTTCAAAGAACCTCCCCATCATGTAGCACCTTGAGGCTGGGGCCCTGGCCTCCAGCAGATGGCTGAATGGTCTTTTCCAGAACAGCCCGTGACATTCCAGTACATCCCCTGTCTTGGCATTTTATCAGTGGTTGTCTCATCAGGGACAATTCCTGTTAGAAAGCTCCTGAGCAGAATAGGCCCAAGGGGCTGGTCAGGTGAGGTTTCCTCACCAGGCAGAAAGTCAGAGAAGGGGGCCCTGCAGGGAGGAAGAAGCCTCAGAGCCCCTGAGGACTCTCTGGAGACCAGCTCTCCAGGCTGCCAGGGAAACACCGAGAAAAATGACGCCTGCTGGGAAGCGGTGTCCACCCAAACCTTCCTGCCCTACCACATGCCGTCCCTTTAAACAACCCTTCAGAAAGAAAGAGTGCATAGCCAGGGACCCTCCTGTCCCTGGGCTCCCAGGGCTCCCACGAGCCGCACAGCACTGACCTCTTGGTAGCTGGCACACAGATGGAGCATGGGCCCTCCAGCAAGCCCCTCCAGGCCCCACAGCAGCTTCCTGAGGAATCTCACCCTCCAGCCCAATAAGCTGTGGACACAGGATACCCTACATCCCTCATAAGCACTCTAGCCTTGACCTTCACTGCTCCTTCTGCTTCCATCTCGGTCTCACCTTATCCAAGATGTGACCTCCTTGGGGAGCTGGGGTCCATGTGTGCCATTCCCACAACATCCCAGGAATCAGGTGAAAGTGTCACACCTGAGACTGCCAAAGGGGACCCCCTCACTCTTACCTGGATGCCGGCATGACTGCACAGGTAGAAGTCAAACTCGGTAGGGTGGGTGATTTTCGTGTCCACAGTTGTGCCTGCTGGAATGTTCCCACTCTTCCCAACCTGCAGCAAACGGGAACCTCATCAGACGTGGCAGGCGGGTAGGCAGAGCCAGCCAGCAGGATGTGCAGTGGGAGCACATTGATGGTGAGGGCTTTAAACTGATTAATTGATGTGTGTTTCTTTGCTCACATAAAGTCTTATGAGTACTAAGTTAGAACTGTTTAACTTGGGCTGGGGTTGTTGACAGTGCACACAGATGCTACAGGTAAATGTAGTCTGTGTGCTAAAGGACCCACATAATAGCCCAGGCTGGCCTGGAATGCTCTATGTGGCTGAAGATGACACCAAACTCCTTGTGTTCCTGCCTCTATCTCCAAGTGTTAGAACTGCAGGTACCAAGGCTGGGGAGATGGCTCAGCGGTTAAGAGCACCAACTGCTCTTGCAGAGGACCCGGGTTCAATTCCCATCACCCACATGGTGGCTACGAACCGTCCTTAACTCCAGTTCCAGGGGTATCCGAAGCCCTCTTCTGACCTCCAAGGCACTGCATGACACGGGTGCACTCACATACATGCAGGCAATACACTCATACATATAAAAATAATAAATAAAATATTAAAAAAAAGAATTGCAGGTACCTGTTGCTATGCCCAGTTTAAAATATTTAAATTATACATACATACATACATATGTATCAGAGACAGACAGACTCCTGTTCGGTGAGGATGCTTTTTACTCTTCTTGGTAATGGTAAGGAAAAAGTTTCTCTCTCCCTGTAGCCCCAGCTGTCCTGGAACTCACTACGTAGACCAGACTGGCCTCGAACTCACAAGAGATTTGCTTGCCTCTGCCTCCCAAGTGCTGGGATTAAAGGCGTGCACCACCACACCCAGCCCAAAAGTTATATTCTTTTATTTATTATTTATTTTGTCTTTTTGAGACAGGGTCTCCTTGTAGCCACAGCTGGCCTGGATTCACTATGGAGACCAGGCTGGCCATGAACTCACAGAGGTCCACCTGCCTCTGCCTCCTGAGTGCTGGGACTAAAGGTGTGTGCCACCATGCTCGGTCAAAAGTTATATTCTTGTAACTGTGTTTTTACACAATGTCCTTGTATGCTTAGGCTAGCTGACATTTCCTTTGTTTTACTTATTGGGTGGGTACCCTGAACGCAACCCTGAGATGTTTTTTCACTCTGTAAAGTCTAAGCTCTGTGATGCTTTCCATCCACTGTGTCTAAATGCTGATAAAGATGTGAAACTAAACGAATGGAAAGTTCGCCAAGTGGTTTAATGAGGCACCTGGTCCAACTAGTCCAAGAAAAGTATAGCTCAAATGTGGTAGAATTCTAAACTATTGCCCATATCCGCTTTGTAAACTGAAATGATCATTTGACTAGGTCCTAGCCCAATTAGCCTGGCCTAGCTGCAAATCAAAAGGTGACAGTGCCCTGACCCATGCCTTGGTTATCTACTTTGAAACCAAGTTGGTCAAGTGAGCTCAGGAAGGAATTTCCTGAGATAACATGGCCCATCATGAAAAGGAACACAGGGTCCAGGTGTTAAGTCGTAAAATGACGATGTAAAATTGACTACATTATCTTCATCTGTACTTTGGTTTGGGGCTCCAGAGCATCTAGCTTTCTCTTGGGTGAATGTTTGGTCTCTTATCTGTTCAGACAGTAGCATAAACAATAATCCCATAGTTGTTTTTAAAGACAGGGTCTCAAAGTATAGCCCAGACTGGCCTGGACCTCACTGTGTACCCTAGGCTGGCCTCATGGTCATCCTCCTGTTTCAGCCTTCTGAGTCCTGGGATGACAGGCAGAAGCCACTCTGCCCAGCTGAATGACCTTCGGACACGCGTTTCCTTGTACTCAGGTATGTGTGTGTTTTTCCAGGACAGACACGGAACTGCCAAATTTGTATTCCAAGCTGGTTATGGGTCTGTACTCCCATCACCACTGTGAGAAAGTTTCCTTCATAACCACACACCAGGGACAGGGTGCAGTGTCCCTTCAGTTAACTCTCCCAACATCCTTGTTCTTGTGGGAGGGGCCATGGAAGCAGAGGGAGGCTCAGGGTCAAGTGGGAGGGACATGGATCCCTCTTTCCCATTCCTGAAGTTCTGCAGAAGATTTTCTGGTCCATTTGCTTATTGAAAGAGGACTTCTGCTATGTAGCCCAGGCTGGCCTTGAACTTGTGATCCTCCTGCCTTAGGCTCCTAGTAGCTGAGATTACTGGCATGGGACACCATGCTGGGCTTATAAACCATTATGTCTTGAGGGCTGGTAAATTTGAAAACTAAACTCACAATTACGTAATTACCTTTCTTCCTCCTTCTTTCTGAAGGTTGTTTGGGAAGCTGCCTGTAAAGTTCTTGGGGCCCTGTAAAGTGCTGGGAGGTCTTTAAAAGAGAGTAATTTTTGGATTTATCTTCCCTAGCTGATTTTGTAAAACTACAATTCCACGAGCATCTCCAAGTTCACTGGCTTACGGTGTTAATATCCCATGATCTGGTGATGCTGGTGGTCTCCTGCTCCCGGTGCTGGTGAATACCGTCTCCCTCCACGGCGGCTTGCTAGGCACACTTTCAAGGAAGCAGATTTGAACTTGGTCCAGCTCTCCTGCTTCATAATGTCCCATTCTGGGGAAGGAGGAGATGTATGTGTTGCCTCTATGCCCTCTGGCCCTGGCAACAGAGACTTGGGGGGACCCCGGCTGCACACTGCAGGGCATCTCCTCATCTGAGCATCAGAGCCGCTTCTCCACACCCGTCTTCAGGACCGGTTGCTTGTTTGTAGTAAATGCATTCAAGTCTCCAGGCTGCACTGCTCAGGCTGCATTGCAGTTGTACAAACCCCCTGGCTCTTGTAGCGGAGTGTCCTGCGGTCTCTATCTTTAATGCATGAGCAGTACTGGTACAAAGACGGCATCACGTATTCTTAACGTAGTCTTAAACTTCAAATTTGCATAATGATCAAAACACTCGGTTTCTACAAGATCACAGTTTGGCAGCCATGGGACCCCCTTGTCCCTGCACATGGACCGGGCTGTCTGAGCAGGACTCAGTGTGCACCTGCTGGCCCTGCCCTTCTCACCACACATTCCCCGCTCACTCTCAGCTGCTGACAGAGGCACAGTTAAAACAGCCATCTTTGATACTGGACTTGTCCGTTTCCCCTGGACATCCTGTAAACTCTTGCTTGTTTGTTTTTTCCTTCTCATAGTTTTAGGGTATGACATTGGTGACACTTAAGACTACCATTTCCCTATTGATCTACTAGCCCCCTGAGGTTTGTCCTTCTGGCGATGTGTGTCTCCAGAGCTGCTGCCCCAATATACAGCAAACTTTCCAGGGACTGGGAGATGGTTCAGTCAGTAGTTGCTTGCTGTGTCAGCATGGAGACCTGAGTTCAATCCCCAGAACCCACATAAAAATACCAGGTGTGGCACCCCACACTTGCAATCCTAGTGCTGGGGAGGCACCCCCCGGACCCTGGATCTTGCTGGCTTATCCTAACTGGTGCGCTACAAGCCAAGGTCTCAAAGGAAGTTGACGGTGTTTCTGAGAATGATACCTGAGCTTGCCCTCTAGTCTCTGCCTGTGTGCCCATCCCCACATTCATATACACAAACACAATGAACATGCACATACATGCACACACATGTATAAGACAAAAGCAAGACAAAACTTTTGGCATGAGGACTCCTATCTTTCTCCCAGTGGAGAATTCAGAGCTGTAATACACCACTGAAGAAGCTTCCACAATGAGACTTGCCTTCCCTGAGAAGCCCCAGGCTGGCTCCATTCTATCACACTCTAACTGTCCACTATCCCGATCTTATCTATTTCTTGTCTCTCATTTTCCCGCCTTCCCTCCCTTCTGTTTGAGATCAGGTCTTGAATCCATCATGAGATGATGTCAATTCCTGATTCTTCTGTGTCTGCCTCCTGGAGGGGATTACAGAAGCACGCCATCACACCTGGTTCACGCAGTGCTGGGGATTAAACCCGGGGCTTCATGTGTGCCAGGCAAGCACTCTACCAACTAAGTCCCATTCTCAGAACCACTGCCATGGTTTCTAACTGGTTCTTTCTCAGAGCTATCTGTCTCTTAACTACTTAGCAGGTAAAGGACATTCATGTCTGGACCTTCCCTGATCTACAAAATATAAGTTAAGTTTCTCACCAAAGTCAGGAAGGCCCTTCCTGGACACCTGAGGCTGGGTCCCCATGAAACCCCTTGGAACAGTCTCTCAGATGCTAGGCGGTAACCACAGGGCTGGGACTTACGCGCTCGTTCTTGTCGGTGCAGAAGAGCCGTGTGTGATGCCTCTTCTGCACCACGATGAAGGTGATCCCAGGCTGGTAGTCCTTCTCCAGCTTGATGCAGGCCTCTCGGATGGCCAGCAGCTCATGGTGGAGGACCTGCAGAGAGGGACTGGCATCAGGGGCCTTGTTCTGAGCCCCTGCATACACACTGGGGAGAGCCTGCAGGTTCAGCAAGCACCGTGCCAGGTGTGCCTCCCGGCCGAGGGCACCTGGGTTTCATGATTAAACAGTTAAAACTAGAGCGTGCATCACACTGCTCAGCACTAAATCCAAAATGTTCTCAGTGCTCAGTAACAGCACTGTGAAGGCTCACAGGCATGAAAAACTCAGCCATTTGTGATGCTTTCTGGAGAGGAGGGAACTAATGGAACACAGACTGGCAAGAGGCAGAACTGAGCTCCCACCTGAGCTCTGCCTCTAGCAACCATGTCTACAGCTTTGGGAGAAGCACTCAGCAACCCCAGTCCCTCTACCTGTAAACTGGGAGTGCATCTGAAAGATGGCCTCATGGGAAAGGTGGGGCAACGAGGGAGCGTTTGCTGCCCAAGTACCAGGAGCTTCAGATTTTTGCTGTGCTGAGAGATACTGTCTCCAAACAGTGCCCACGCTAGCCTCAAATGCTTGGCTCAAGCAATCTTTCCACCCAAGTCTCCCAAGTAGCCGAACTGCAGGTGCACACCAGTGTTAGATGCACCTAAATTATGTATTTATTTAAAAACTTTTAATTTATTTTTATTTTATGTGTATGAATGTTTTGCCTGCATGTATGTATGTAAATGCACCATGCGTGTATAATGGCCGAGGAGGCCAAAAACGGAGGTTGGATCCACTGGAGCTGGAGTTAAGGGCATTTGTTAGCTGTCATGTGAGTACTGAGAACCAAACTGGGGTCCTCTGCAAGAGCAATCAGTACTCTTAACCCCTGAGCCATCTCTCTAGTCATTTTATTTCATTTTATTTTTTTTTAATTTTATTATTATTATTATTATTTTAAATTTATTTTTGGTCTTTTTGGGACAGGGTCTCCCTGTAGCCCCAGCTGTCCTGGAACTCACTATGTAGACCAAGCTGGCCTTGAACTCACAGAGATCCCCTGCCTCTGCCTCCTGAGTGCTGGGACTAAAAGTGTGCGCCACCACGAACACAGGGGCGTCATTACTTATTTATTTTTGAGACAAGGTCTCACAACGTAGCCCTGGCTGTCCTGGAACTCTGTGTAGACCAGGCTGGCCTAGAACTTACAGAGATCCACCTGCCTCTACCTCCCAAGTGCTGGGATTAAAGGTGTGTGTAATCACCGTGCCCCACCACTTCAGATTGTTAACAATGGTCCCCATTGAACACTGTTTACAATGTCTCTAAGTCTTGAGTTCTGGTGCAAACAGCTTAGTTGTGGAGATTCTGGGACACAGAGTGCTCTCTGAGTGGTAAAGCTGAGAAGGGCAGGTCCCACCTCTCTACAAGGGAGATGGACTAGGACGCTGGGTGAAAGGACTGGGGGCCCAGATGGTTCTGTGAGAGGCAGTGGGGCTCAGCTTCATGAGTCCATCATGGGAGCTGCCACTGAGGCTCCGCAGAGCACAGCACTAGAGGCTCGGCCAGGAAAGGCCAAGGGCAGACTGTATTCACAGGAGCTCTGAGGAGGAGAAGCTGCAGTTTCCACCCCGGACAGGAAGGCAAATGTGTGTGTGACTTGTCACATGCCATCAGCCCATGATCAGGGTGGGCAGATTTTCAAGCAACTCAGACCTTAGAAATGCCAGGCCAGCCAGGCATGATGATGCACGCCTTTGCTCCCTAGGCTCAGAGGCAGAGGCAGGCAGATCTCTGAGTTCAAGGCCAGCCTGGTCTGCATAGTGAGTTCCAGGACAGTTGGGGCTACAGGGAGACCCTGTCTCACAAGGGGAGGCCGCGTCGTCCAGCGTTTTGCGTCCCCTCGGGCGCCAGCCCCAGGGAGGGAGGGAGGGAGGGAGGGAAAAGCAAAGCCAGGACAGCTACCAAGAACACTGGGGGTGAGGGAGAGGTATCCTCCTCCACTACCAGGTATACCCCCAATGGTTTATTTCTACTACCTCCCAAGAAAGCATTTGCTGGGACAGGGGTGAGGCACATACAACTGGTCTTGGCCAGTGGATGAACTCTCAGGGCACTAGGCCCTCAAGTTCCAGGCCACAGTGGACTCATACTGCTGCTGGGCACCCTGCCCAGACCTGCTGCCAGTCCTTACAGACAGGACAAGAAAGGTCCCTCCTGTCCCTCTGGATGCTAACATGGCCTACTGCTCTCTCTGTGCCCGCAGCATTCTCTGGCCCCGGATACCTTCCAAGAGTCCGACCTGGCCCTATGTGGCTCCCACCGTGCTTACGGCTCCCTCTCAGACTGCCCTTCCTACTGTGGACAGACAGCACAATCCTTGTCTACACTGTGACCAGATCAAAGGCAAGACCGTAAACTGCATCAACCTCCTGCCCAATGACAGTGATGGAGAGGACACTCAGCCCACCTGCTGGAACTGGCCCTCAGAGACGCCATCGCGGTAGAAGATGATGCGGGTGGGTTTGAAGCGCGTGGACTTGTAGAACTGGATGAGCAGCTCTCGCACCATGGCGGCCAGGTCCTGGATGATCTCCTGTCGGTGCTGCTGAACACGCACAGTAGCACAGTAGCGGTTGGGGTGTGCGTCCATACTGCCCACGACCTGCAGGGGCACAGAGTGGGCACTTGGCAAGGACTCCAGAGGTCTCTGTGGAGATGCTCTGTGGAGACGCATCCTACCCAGGGGTCCCTCTGGCAGTAGGCAGACTCTGCTTCTCAGAACATTCTGTGGATCAGAAGGTTGCCCCAAGGTACAGGAAGAACAGATGATTACTGAACCTTACTGTATGTGTGGTTAGATCGGGTTGAGCTAGATATACAAAGACAGCAACCAGGAATGCCTCTAGTTTTTTTTTTAAAGCCAACTGCTTCTCCAAAGAGCTACATGCATGTTAGAGACTCTGTAGCCCCAGAGTTTGGTCCCTAGGAAGGGCCGAGCCCCTGTACCAAGGTAAGCTAGCTGTGTGAGGGGACATCTGAAGGAGCAAAGCAGCCAGCCAGGGCACAGAGAACCAACCAGGATGGTTCTAGGGTTCTGTCCTCAGGGAACTGAGAGCCCAGGAAGGATGACCAACTAACCAGCCTCCTGTGCTTGCCCACCTCTGGGCTGGGAGAAGCCAGTTCCTTATACCTTGAAAGGACTAAGGGAAACCCTATGTCACTGGGAGGCAGGCCGCCTGCCACTCCTCAGGTCTCCCAAGTCCTCCCAGAGTCCTTGTTTCCTGTCCTCCCTGGGGCTACGCTTTGTCTCTCAAACTGTGTGAAAATAAACAGACCAGGAACATTTCAAGTTGCTATAAACAGAAATAAACCAACACAAACTAAAACCTGTTCCTACTGATTGAGAACTGTGAGCATCGGGGATAAACACACAGCTTTCTGTTCCTGAGAATTTGACAAGCCTGGCCTAAGCCTCTGAAGCCCAGAGACAATGCCTACTCACATTTACCCAGAAAAACAAAAGCTAACACGGACCAGGTAAAGCCCAAGGTGCCAAGAGACCTGGGCCAGACCTGAGCTTGCTAGCTGTGCACAGATGGCCAGCCAGCCCGGGGCATCCTTTCTGAGCCCACATCCTTCTCTGTAAACTGCCCAAGGGATGCCCAGGTGACCTGTTGAGCTGCTTTGCTCCAAAGAAGGGAAGGCTGATCAGTGCACACTGAGAAACACTGTGAGGGCGCAGTGAGTAGCCTTCCTTTTGGACATTACAGGGACCCTGGCTCTCTTAATAACATAGGCACTCCACCCCAGAGAGCTGTGCACATCACACACCATCAATTTGGTGGCCCCTTCCAATCACTCATTTGCCATCAGGCCATGATCTGACCAAGTAGGTGAGAAACCTCCACTTCTCAGGGAGAACACCACTTCCTCCCCCACCATATCACCCACAGTAATAAAGGCACTGGAGGGCCAAGGGACCCCCTAGTGGCATGCCCCTGGCAGACACTCACAGCGGCAATTGACGGCTTCTTCCCATCCCCAGCAGGTGGGTGAGTAACATCGGCTCCCAGGAAGATGACAGGCTGCTGGAACACAGGGGGCCTGCGGACAAGGGGGCATTTGACCTCTGATGACATCACTGCCTACCACCCCTCTCCAGGAGGCAACCCTAACCCCAATAGGGACATTTTTCAACAGAATCGTCTTCTTTTTTTTTTTTTTTGGAGACAGGTTCTCTTGTATCCTAGGCTAGGCTGCTATGTAGCTGAGGATGACCTTGAAACTACTGATCTTCCTGCCTCCATTCCAGTGCTAGGATGACAGGTATGCACCACTATACCCATCTAGCTTATGCAGTACTCGGGATTGAACCCAGGGCTTCACATGTGCTATGTAAGCACTTTGCCAAGTGAGTGACATCCCCAGCCCCTCATCAGAACCTTTACCTTCAAAGACACACAGAAAACCTTCCGGGATAAATAACGGACACAGGAGAACATGGGGATGCTGGCTTCATGGCCGTGCCAGGCGTAGTGCAACTCTTGAAGGGGACCCCTGGCTTGGCACAGGGAGGGCTGTGCCGGCCCACACTAGTTTTCATCTGCTAGGGAACTGAGCCACCGCACTCACTCACCCCGGAAGCCCTAGTTCTGAGTGGCCAGGGCCCATGCCTGCCCTCCGACTTCTCCTGTCCGGGAGAGCACTGTGGCCGGCTGAGGGTCTCTGGCCACCATGCTCTGTGCCCCTGTCGGCTGCACAGGGCGCCGGCCCTCACCTGCCCTGGGGCAGCAGGATGTTGTTGACCCCTCCCAGTTTGACGTTGATCTTCAAGCAGAGGTTGGACAGGGTCTGTGGCGTAGTCCTCTGCACGTTCTTCATCTGGACGCACTGCGTGGCCATGCCCAGCACTGTGTCTCCCACACGCTTGACTTCAGCTGCGGGACATGGAGGTGCATGTCACATTCCGCCAAAGCAGCAGCTGTCTCCTATCCCCACCTGGACTGCATTGGTGCGGGTTCAACTCCAGCAGCTGCATTAGGCACCTGCAGTCAACCTGGAAAAGGGGCTGGCACTGTGCGGGCCAAGCTTCTGGCCAAGTCCTGCTTTAGTACCACCAGGCACCTGTGGCTGTCTCACCCTCCTCAGGAGAGAAGCTGAGGGTTCACCTCACTCCACCTATGTGTGAACTAGAGCTGTTGAAGTGACTTAACCAGGACCATGGTGGGGCAGGCCAGAGCTGACTCTAATGGAATCTTTGGCATTCCTCAGTAGGAATGACACCTTGTGCTAAGCAAATGCCTGGGTGGTTAAAAATAAAAGCACTGGCCTCCTCAAAATCCTTGCCAAACACAGACCCAACAACAAAGAGCTCTGGGGACCCATGCTGCCCCGTGCCTGGATTCCTTCATGAAGCAGCCGGTCTTGCTCCCAGACTACGCTAGCAACCATGACTCCCAGGGCAATATTAATAGCATGCAAACGCCACTGGCTTGAGAAAGGAACATGGCTTTCACATGTCTACAGACTGCTGCAGGCTAGACAGGACCCCGTCGGCGACACCCACCAAGCAAGTTACTTCCCTTGAACCCCTGTGGCAGAGTCTCAGGGAACATGGGAACTTTTGGGGACCCCTTTCTATCTGCAACATTTGTGTCACAGCATGGGCATGGACACCCATCCTCAAGTTATGGCCATCTGGTGCTGCTAGCTAGCTTCCCAGGACTGTGGCCTTATACAAGACAATGAGGATGGTCCTGAGTGCTGACTGACTAGAGTGACCAGACCTGCTTCCTCCCTCCCAGGCTCAGAAACAAGCTAGAAACAAGTATTCACTTCAGTTAACACATAAGTTCAAGTGGCAACCCACACCCACTGCAACCCCCCCAGTTCCCAAGGTAAGCAGAGAGCTGGACACCTACCATACACTGGGGTTTTCCCAGGCAGGATGACGACCACCAGCTGCAGGCCAGCATATGTGTTCTTCAGGTGCCGGAACATGGGCTCCACACTGTCTGCCCCCTGTGCATATTTACAGAAGCAGGGCTGACCCTGGATGGGCATCCCGGCATCTCGAGAGATCTTCCTCAGTTGCTCTGTGAAGGACCTGAAAGAGAAGACCCATTTTGCTAAGACTCACAGCAACTGCCAAGGGAGCCAGCCTAGCCAGGGGTCCTTTATAAAGCTCAGCAAAGTTTAAAGCATGTTTCTGGAGGTGAAAATTAAGTGTCTTCAGGGCTGGGGAAGCAGTTCCCCAAGCATGCAGAAGACCCTGGGTTCTAACCCCTGGGTCACATAAACCAGGCGTGGTGGTGCACACCCTGCAATCTCAGCACTTGGGAGGTAGAGGTGAGAAGACCTAAAGTTCAAGGTCATTCTTGGCTACATGGTGAGTTTGAGGCCAGCCTGGGATCTTTACCTATCTATCTACCTACCTACCTACCTACCTACCTGCCTGCTTTTTGTAGTCCAGGCTGGCCCGAAACTCAGGATCCCAATGCCTCAGCCACCACACCAAGTTGGAATTGTTTAAGTCTCAGATAAAGCCACAAATCAAAGTTACATCAACCCATGAAAGAAGAACATGCTAAACACACATGGGAGCCCCTGAGGTTCCCATGGTGACTAGGCTAGGATACAATGCAGACACAAACTGCACAGCCGCTGCTCCAAACAGTGACACTCCGTGTGCAGTGACACCATGCTGCCCTTTTGTGCCGTGTAGGCCTGAGCCCTCTGTTAGCCTCTGTTCATCAACCGCCATCCTTTGGATTTTCCCCGACTACTGTGGTGGGTACAACTCGGGCTTGAAGACATAGACCCAGGAAGAAGCCAAATCGCCACCAGTTGGGCGCTGCTGGCAGCCTGGCCAACGGCCGTGACTCAGGTGGCTGATGGACCACATCCACACTCAGCTTCAGAATTAAAACGTGTCACCATATCCAATCGGCAGTGGGGGTAAGGGCATGGATAGAATCTGGTGGGTCAGTGCTCAGAGTCCCACACACTCCATGTGTGTGCAACTTGCGGATGTGCCTCTGGAAGGAGGGGCCAAGGATGGAAGATGGGCGGGAGCTGCCCAGGGTCTAGCCTCTACTCCAGCTTCCTTTTCTCAGAGCTTCTGGCTCATTCTTCTGGAAGCACAAGTAAAAGCAGCTTCTAATGGGTAGCAGGCTATAGGCCCTGAATGGGGCCTGATCAAATGGCCTCTTGTTGGGGGGTGCAGTTATAGCCGCACTCTGCAGGTTTTGGGACCCCTTCCCCTTATTGCCTCCAGGGAAGTGGGAAACCAGTGTCTCAATTTCCCTCTAACTGTAGCTGGAACAGAAGGACGAGCACTAGGACACACATGTGTTGACACTAGTGAAGCCTGGTCAGGCCCAGATTCCCGCTGCAGGCAGTAAGACAAATTAAAGTCTTCTTGGCTCACTCTCACCCCTCTCCTGCACAAGAAGTGAGACAATGTTCCCATCTTCGGGGTCTCCCTATTTTACCATCTCATCTCCATTCAGTTTTCATTTCTTCTCATTTATTCACAGAAATCTCAGAGCAGGGCTGGTGAGATGGTTCAGTCAGTAAAGGTGCTTGGTGCCAAGCCTGACGACCTGAGTTCAATCTCTAGGACCCACACAGTGGAAGGAGAGACCCAACTCCCTCAAGTCATCCCGACTGCCACATGTTTCCCAGGGTATGTACTCCCTACACACAAATCAATGTAATTTGAAATTTTTTAATCTCAAGAGCAAAGTGTGTTTATTGCTGCTTTTCATTTATTTCATTTGAGACAGAGTCCGGATATGTTTCGAAGGCTGGCCTCAAACTCGGATCAAGAGATCTTCCTGCCTCATCCTCCTGAGAGGCTGAGGCTAAGTATGCATCCACATCCACTGCCTACCCTGCTTTCTGTTGATTTTCCACACTGAAAAATGAATCCAGGGCCTTGCACACCAGTCAAGTGCTCACCCGCTCAGCCACATTCCCCGCCCTTTCCTGTAGTTTTAAACTTGTTGCTGTTTTCTTCCAGATGTAATCTGGCCTCCTCTCATCTCAGGTCCTGGGAGTCATCCTGGGCAAGTGTTCTTTGTTAGGGAAAGGCTGTCCAGCCGATACCAGAAGCCCCACTAGGCCCCTGCCTGCCCAAGAGAATGGAGGCCAAGCACATCTGGACCTCGAGCGGCTTACTTTAGGTGAACTTCTGTGCACTGGCGCTGGGGTGCGAAGCAGGCGATGGCCCACACCTTGATCTCAATGCCCGTGTGGAACTGCTTGTTCCTCATGTCCCACACGCCCTGGACCGGAGTGGCGATTGCTTTGTTCTGCAAAGGGAAAACAAAAGGGAAACACTGACTTTGGATCTAAGGCTCTTGCTGCTGGGCTCCCTGACCAACAACGGATCTTCCGCACCAGACCATGGCTGGCATGTTCTCTGTCTGTTCCCTAACCGTAACTGTAGGTAGCCTGCACATGTGCAGAGTGGGGGATTCTGGGTGGAGGGTGGCAAGGTGACAAAATGAGTGGATAGATGGGGTGTCGATGGATGGATCGAAGGATGGATGGGGTGAGCAGAATTGGATGAACAGATGGGGTATGAACACATGGGTAGATGGACGGATGGATGGGATGAGTAGGGTCGTGGGGGTGGATGGGAGCGTGAAGGCAAGGGTAGATGGCAGGGCATGTGTGAATGGATGGGGGTGAGGAGAGTCAGATGGGTGGGTGGGGGGATGAATGGATAGGGATATGGGGTGAGGAGAGCTGGACAGACGGCAGGATGGATGGGGAGTGGAAATGGATGAGATACATAGGGCTGTGAATGGATGGGGTGATTAGAGCTGGAAGGGTGGGAAGGGGTTGAGTGGACGGGGAGACAGAAGGATGTGCGGAGGCAAATGGACAGGCAGACAGAGGCTAAGCCAGCAGAGTGGAGGCCCAAAAGCCTGGCTGATGCTCTAGGGATGTTCTTGCCTCACACAGTGCCTCTCCAGGGATACCTCATCTGCCGCTGATGAGGCTACCCTGGAAGGAAAGGGCATGTGAGCCTGTAACCCCAGGCTGTGGTCAGGCCAGCTGGGATGGAACCCTCAGAACTCCCTCCCTGCCAGCTTGCGGCTGTATCAGGCATGGCAGATGCTGCATTTGGATAGAGGACTATCAAGACACACAGCTGCTTAATTTTGTCATCTTTTCACTAGAAAAGCCACCTGAGAAATCTCCGAAGTCCTTCGGGAGACTCAGGCCACATGTCAGGCCACATGGTAACTCTTGAGTTACCATCCTGGGCATGTGGATCTACCACAGGGCATAGCTGTTCCTGAGCGGCCGCTGCCACTAGGCTTCCATGACCTCCTTTCATGAGACACCCTCTCCCTCTTCCACTCCACAGGAGAGAAAGGGGTTGTCCTCAGTAGCCATGTGTCTGTCAAGCCAGCACACTGAAACCTGAGGTTGGGTGGCTGACACTGCAGAGAGGCCACCTGTTCTGGCTGGCGCCAGGGGTCCTCCTGTCCCTGAGCTGTGCCAAGAATGCCTCAAGACACTGACCCCTGTCCCCTGGTGGGCAGGCCCACCCCCAGCTGAGCCCCATTGCACACCCAGTTTTTCAAAGGGATGCTTAGCCCCCCAATACTAATAGTAGGCAATGGGGAGGGCAGATAGTAAGAGGGGCTTCCTCCCTGTCAAGTATACCAGACCTGAAAAATGCTTGCTTCAAAGTAATAGTGTATACGCTCTTTGGGCCTGCAAGATGGCTCAGAAAGTAAAAGACTTCCTATCAAGCCTGACAATCTGAGTTAGATCCCTGGCACTCATATAAAGGCGGAAACACTGCGAGAACAGATCCTATACACAGATCCCCTACACACACACACACACACACACACACACACGTGTATGCCCCCCACCAACATCATACACATATACACAAAAATAATAAAGTTGAAAATAACTAAAATAAGGGTGGCTGAGTTTTTAAAAAAGGAGTGCTATACCTTGACGGTTCTCAGTTCTAAGATTTTTGCAGACAATGAGAGGAGCTATTTTGTCTTTCAAGGTGTCTTTAAAAAGAGGCAGAAGAGTTCAGAGTTCAGGAAACAGAAAAGATACAGGATCTGAAACTGTCAGTTTACCTACAGGCCCCAGGAACACAACCCTCTTCCCCTAGGACTGTGGAGTTAACCAGACACTGTGCTTATAGTGTCTGTCTCCACAGTTGTACAGAAGTTCCCTTTGGGACAGGGAGGACACAGACACTCTACAATGGGACACTACACAGCAGTCACAAAGCACAGGCCTGCTACACCCCACCAAGAGGCCCGAGAGACCTTGGTGAGGTCTAAGAGGAAACTGTGTGTCCTGGTTTGTTCTTCATTGCTGTGACAAAACACTCTGACCAATACCAACTTGGAGAGGAAAGGGTTTTTTATCTCACATCTCCCAGGTCACAGCTCATCAGGGAGCCCAAGGTAGGAACTCAGGGCAGGAACCTGGAGGCAGGAGCTGGGGCACAGGCCATGGAGGAACACTGCTTACTGACTTGCTCCCCTGGCCCCTGCTCAGCCTGCTTTCTTATGCAACACAGGCCCACCTGCCCAGGGGTGGCACCACCCACAGTGCGCTGGGCCTTCCCGCATCACTCAACAATCAACAAGATGCCCCACAGACCAGTCCAATGGAGGAAATTCCCCAACTGAGGCTCCCTCAACCCAGTTGTGTCAAGTTGACACTAAAGCTATCCAGCACATCATGTGAGGACAGAGAGCGGACACAGCATGCGCAGCACTGCAGCTATTCACACAAAGAAGCAGGAAGAAAAGGCATGATAACCCTGGGCAGGTTCACAGAAGAGGAAGATCACAGTTGTTTCCTGGAAGCAACTGAGGGCTGGGGAAAAGACTTTTATTACAGTTCTTATAGATCCAGAACACTTAAAAAAAAACAAACTTGAGACCCTGGATTCAAACCTCAGCCCTGAGGGTAGGGAAGGAGATAAGAGCCAGAGGGGCTGGATAAATGGTTCAAGGTTAAAGAGCACTTGCTGTTCTTGCAGGGGATCTGGGTTTGGTTCCCAGCACAGGTGGCTAACAACTGGCAGTAGCTCCAGTTCCAGAGGATCCAACGCCCTCTTCTGACCTTGGGCAATGCATCTATGTGGTGCACTTACATGCAGGCAAAACACTCATAAAATACATAAAACAAAATACAAAAAAAAACCCATAAATACAAATAATTTTTTTAAAAAACAAAAAATTAAGTCAGATATAGAGGTACACACCCATATTCTAAGCACGTAGGAGCTGGAGGAAGGAGGATCAGTTCAAGGCCAGCCCAGCCACACAGCAAGTGAGGTGTCAGTCTGGGCTATATTGCACGAGACCTTTGTCTAAACCGAAAAATTACTGGGTGTAGTAAAGCACGTCTTTACATCCCAGCACTGAAAAGGCAGAAGTGGGTAATCTCCCTGAATTCCAAACTAGCCTGGTCTACATAGCAAGTTCCAAGTCAGCAAGGCTATAGAGTAAGATTTTGTCTCAAAAATAAATAAATAAATAAACACAAATACAAACAAACACACACACACACACACACACACACACACACACACACACAGGGTCCAGTGAGATGGCTCAGAGGGTAAAGGCACTTGCTGCCAAGCCTGACAACCTACATTCCATCCCTAGGCCCCACATGGTAGAAAACTAACTTACAAATTTTGCTCTGACCTTCAAATACACGCTATGTGGCACATGCACAACCTGCCTTCCCCTGCTCCAAAATTAATGTAAAAAAAAAAATGTTTTTGGAAAAATTATAAAAATAAGAGAAAACCTAACCAAACCTCTACCATGGGTCTCAAAGACTAGAGTAAAATTTCAGTAAGAAGAGTGGCCCAGCAGAGGCCCTGGCCCTCAGGCCGGGCACCCACGGCTCCAGCACCGTCACCCGGGGCCCCACAGGAAATGCACACAGTACCTAGAGCTTGGGAGTTCATGGCCAGGGTGCCACACACAGTGATAAAACTAGGTCAAACCAGAAACAAACAACAACAATAAACCCCACCACACAACAATGGTGTGAGCTGTGTGGTGGCATAGGTCTGTAGTCCCAGCACTGGTTATGTCTGAGGCAGGAGGATCTTGAGTATGTAGCAAAACACCATTTCAAACAAAGCAACCAACACACACACAAAAAGAAATGAAACGAGACAAGGGCCCAGGAAGCAGCTCCGCACTGAGACTGTCAAGCGTGAAACTGAGCTCTGGTGGGATAAGATGGGACTTTTGGAGATGACGGGCAATGTGGACACTCTTCAAAAGGATCCAGGAAATGGAGTCCTCGAGACATATCTCCTTGTGGGTACAACTCAGAGCAGCCACCTGCTGTGCCCAGTGTTTACCCCACAGGTAAGGACTCCAAATTTGAAGGAGCCAGACACAGCTGCCCTCCCTACATCATCATACGTAAACAGTTGCCCCACGCCACCCCCTCTGCACCTACCCTGCCCCCGTAGAGGATGGAGGGTGGCTGCAGAACACGTCCAGTCACGTCTGTCATCTCGTCTTTGACCATGATTCCAAACTCACGGACGTAGGGATCTGTATTGAAACTTGCGCTTCGCATCTTGAAAAGAGAGAAAGGAGGCAGGAGTCAGCGGGGGGAGGCTGCTGCTCCTCGGGTGGCTATGTCTGTGGGAGGGTGTCCTTGCCATGGTGCCCCTCCCTGGAACAACCCGAGAACACGAGGCTCACCAACTTGCTGATCTCCTCTTGCCGATCGGGTGCTGACCTGGCAGTTGCTCTGATCATGGTTGAGGTCTGATTGTCTGTTAATTTCTTAATGCATCTCTGTCCAGCCACTATGTTACAGACCTACGAAGACCCAGACACATCAGTACACATGCTGTGTGTTCAAACAGGGGAGTGGGGGGAGTCTCAGAGGCAGAGCCGGGACCAGTGCAGGACAGCTCCACAGCCTCTGGCTGGCAGCAGATCCCTCTAGGCAAACCCAGACTGACAGATTTGCATTCATCAGCTTTGGATGCACTTTGCTGGGCACATGGGGAGGAGGTGCTGGTGCCACTCAAGATTTCTGGGCTTGAGCCAGACATACTGAGCCATATCTGTTATCCCAGGACTTGGGAGGCTCAGGTAAGAGGTTCACTATGAGTCTGAGGCCTGCCTGGGTTACAAGTTGAAACACTGTCTCAGAAAAAACAAAAAACAAAAAACTGCCTAGCTTGCAGGAAGCCCTGGGTTCAAACCCAGCACTCCATAACAAGCACGCCTGCAATTCCAGCACTAGGGAGGTCCTCTTCAGCTACATAGCAAGTCTCACGCCAGCCTGGACGACACTAGACTCTGCTCTCTCAAACAGGACAAAGGGAGTGCTGGCTCGAAGGAAGAGAAAACCATCCCAGCAGAGCCGTTAATCCCATCCCATCAAAGGGAAATAAGCCTGGCAATGCCCATGAATTGGCCCAGTCCCTACAGCAGCAGGATGAATTGTGGGGTCTGGGTGTCTCTCCTCCCTACCCCAGGGATGCCTGCACAGCAATGACTTGCCTCCAAGGGAAGGTAGGTATGTTTTTGCTCCTGTCCGACTTGTAAACACGGAAGGTGGGGGTAGCGCAGAACCAGTTTATGCCTGTCTTTGAAGTACTGGGCCACTGTGCACTCCACTGTCTGCCCACTCTCCTGCTGCAGCGGGAACCTGGGGGTGGGGAAGAAAGAGGCTCAGAGAAACCTCCCAGGATCCCCGAACACTATAGTGAACGCCCCTCCCAGGGCAGTGATCTGTGTCGTGTGAGATGCCAGTGCTCCAGTTCTCTCCTGGATTTTCAGGCTGTCTACACCTGCTGGACACCACTGCCTATCTACGTGCCTAAGACATGCAACAATCGGTTTCTTATGACACAGCTCTGGACACAGGAAGACAAATCCAGAAAGGCCTGAGTATTCTGCAGCAGACCATGGTGACTTTAAGTCACCCTGCATGCATGGTGGCCAGAAGGAACTGGGGCCTTCCAAGATAGGAGCAGGAAAGTCATAGACAAAAGGCCTCCCTGCAGGGCTGGGCAGGAGACACCCCCAACGTCACTAGGGGAGGCAATCTGCGCCACATGCTGGGGAAGGACAAGACCCTAGTTGAGGACAGGCCATGTCACCCAGTCTCCCTCTTATGTCCAGACTACTACCAGGCAATCTGTCACCTCTACCCAGTGGTCAGAAGGTGACAGGATACAGACCTAGCCCCATGTACTTACTGTTCCATGAGGTCTGGAGCACCTCGGTACCCCAGCAACAGGCCAAGTGTCTCTCATGAATGACCACAAAATAAACAAGGACGTCCTCATTGAGCACAACAGACCCAGAGCAGGGCACAGAGCCTGATGTGTCACTTTACCCAAAACACAGTCAACTGTGTTCTTGCCATCAGGCAAATGATAGCATGACCGGATGCTAGCATGAGATTCAGAGGAAGACAGGTACACTGGCAGTTAGCAGATGTCTGCTACCTACCAAGGTGTCCCTGCTCTGAGCACCAAGCATGGTAACACTGCCACTGGTAAGGACGAGCCAGACAGGTCAGGGCATATATCCCCACCTCCCCTGTGTAGGTGGGATTTCAGTGTTGGATTTTTTTTTTAAGATTTATTTTGCTGAGTGTGGCAGCACATGCCTTTAATCCTAGCACTCAAGAGGCAGAGGTAGGTGGATTCCTAAGAGTTCCAGACCAGCTTGATTTCACAGTGAGTTCTAGGCCAGTAAGAGCTACATAGTGAGACCCTGTCTCAAAAAAAAGATTTATTTTCTTTGTATGTGTCTGTGTATCTAAGTGTAAGCTCCTGCCAAGTCCAGAGGAGGGCACCAGGTCCCTTGGAACTGTAGTGACAGGTGGTTATGAGCCACCTGATGTGGGTGCTGGGAACTCAAGTCAGTTTTGCTTTGTAAGGCAGTATACTCTTAACCACTGAGCCATCTCTTCAGCCCCTGGAATTCACTTTTTAAAGTGAAGCTGAGGAGCAGGTGTGCCACACAGGGAGGCTAATGACCGTTTCAGAAGCTCAAACTGATCCTTACAAGACACTAGTGGCTCCAGTGTCTGAAAATCTGAGTGAGAGGGAGGGTCTGGACGACAGGGGCCTGAAGGGCGGGCATCTCACGTTTGGTGACTGGCAGGCCGCCGGGTCACGTTGCAGACACGGTACTTCCTCTTCATCTGCCCACAGTGCGTGATCTCCACCTTTAGACCTGGTGACAGACAGCAAGCATCAGGCCACTGTTGTCATGCATCTGTTGTCCAAGCCCCACTCTAGAATCAGTTTACACATGTGGCTTCAGATGAAGCCATGGGGTTCTGGAGTTGGAGCCTGGGACACACAAGCCACCCACAGGACACCTCTACTGGACCCAACTTGTCCAGATACACCTTCTGCCTGCAAAACTCAACACAGTAAGACTTGGGTGTCACTGCTACAGCTGAGGGTCATTCTAGTCCTCATGTTTGTGGCTCGCAGAGATGGCCCACCTGCTCCCACCCATGTGGCTGTGCTTGTTAGACTTCTGGCCCCCTCTGTGGCATGAGCTTTAGAACCATGGTCAATATGTCTGGCTCACATTCCTCCCTCCACAGGGGCGGAACAAGAATGAGTCATTGCTGGGAGAGGGGACCTTGGGGAGCCTCCCAGCCCAAGCCTGCTGTGCGGGACAGGGCACTTCAGTACCTTTAATTTCTTTGGTAAACTTCACCCTTTGGGAATCTGTCAGAGGTTTTTGTTGCTCTTCAATACTTTTAAAATCCAGAACTTCACAGACAAACTCGATCACCGGCTGAGCCTTGTAAAACGCTGTCGCTGACACTGCGTGAGGAAAAGACCAGAGCAGGTGGTGAGCCCCTTTGGGTGGACCACGTGATACAACAGGAGCAGCTCTGCAGGCCAGGCAGCCTGGGGCACAGGGAGGAAGACTCCTGGCCTCAGTTTCCCTCTATGGAGTTCACCCATGGCCGCTAATGATAAGAAAGCCAATGTCCACTATGCCCAAGGTAGGAACTGACCCTAGGAGAGCCCATGCTCTCTCTAAGCCAGGGGCAATCGTAGGGGCTAGTCGAGTCTGAAGATGAAGTCACTCAAATCACTCTGGGTTCTGAAAACAATCCAAGCGTAACAGCACGAGGGCCATAACCTTGGAGTCTGTGGGCTTTTCGGACTACCTTCTCTAAGAGGCTTTTCTGAGGGTTTCCCATTCTGTGCAATTCTTTCACAATGTAGGTTTTCCCAGAGCTTTTGTGGTAATCAGCTCCTGCGTGAGGAGAGGCACTCTCCCTCCCCACTTTACTCTCTAGCAGAGGGATGTGGGCTCCAACAAACAGCACAACTCTGGGTTTCCTGAAGTGGGGAGAATAGCAGGGAATTATAACGTCCCCCCAAAAGGTTAATGTTGACCTCACTGAAAGGTAATAGGATTGTGAGCACTGTGACCCAACCAATGGAGCACAATTAGAGGCATTACTGGGGGTGGTAGACACTGGGATGTTTCTGGGGCCTGGTTGGAGGAAGTGAGTCATTGGGGGAGTGCTCTTGAGGGGTACACCTTATCCCCGGGCCTCTTCTACCTCTCTGCTTCCCGGCTTCCCGGCCATCATGACGTGAGCAGCACTGCTGTGTCACAGCCTCCCTGCCATGTTCTGCCCCACCACAGGTCTACCGTTGATTAGGCCAAAACCTCTGAAATTGAGTCTAACTCTTTCCTCCTTTGAATGTCTTCCTTTGGAATTTGTCACAGAGATTAAGGTCTAACAGACTAGCCAAACCTGGTAGGAGAGCCCTGGGCAGTGGCCAGGTCAGAGCCCCTAGTGGAGCCCCACACTTAGAACAAAGAGCAACTGGGAGCTATAGGGAAAAAATGAGGGGTGTGACCCCAGCCCCACACCTGGCATGCTCTAATAGTAAGTACAAGGAGCCTGGTGGAGGCAGCTCCTCAGGCTGGCTCAGTACCCTGGGGGGCGGGGCACTCCAGAGGCTCCAACATCCATCTAAGAACCACTGCCATTATCTTAGACACCGCACAGGCAACAGGCTGGCACTGGCCATGAAGATCCTTCCCACGGCTCAGGCCCTGCTACATGTACAAACAAATAACACCACCCCACACCCCTGCAGTGAGGGCCACCGGCCACCCACCCCACATCCCTGCAGTGAGGACCCCTGCAGTGAGGGCCACAGGCGTTGCTCACCATCAATATTCAGCATCATTTTCCAAAGAGAAGGTCGGACGGACTGGTGGAAGCCAAACCACACTTCTCGGCCACCACCCAGTGGGTTGGAGCAGCCCTCAGAAGCAGTAAAGAAAGAGCGACCCACGGGGGTGTACCTGCAATGAGACAGGCCCTCTCCCAATCAGATGAAAATAGCCAGGAAGTATCAGGCTGATAACACCTCTCCTCCAGGCAGCCCAACATGCACACCCATGCCCAGAGACCATTCTAGGCTTTCTCCTGGGAAGTCCTATTCACTACATGGAGTCCAGCCTGCATTTGTACTGTGTCAGCAGCAGCCCTGGGGCATATGGTCTTGCAGCAGGGACAGCTTGAGACCTTTAACACACCAGCTGGGTAGAGTGCAGGGGGACCTCTCTTGGGACTTCACATTGGTATGAGCTGGGACCCACTGTGGTTCTAGCTCAGACTCACTGTTCCATACTTCAAGGCCATCCTTGTTGTGCATCTCCTGTAAGGACAGAGCTGGTATGGGACGTGCTCCAGCTCGGGCTCAGCCTGCTGGCCATGCCGGGTCCTGAGATTGGCTGCCACTTCCATCCTGTCTCCCCTCACTCTTTTCTTCACCCTACAGTGCACACAACTGTGCACATCCCTTCAAGTCTTGCTAGTTCAAGGCTGTGCGGTGGAGGCAGCAGCAGCCTGCCACTAGCAAGTGGGGTCCTAACGGCTATTAGGCAGAGGCAGCCCCAGGCCCCAGGGAGATCTGCCATCCTCCACGCGGCACCCTTCAGTGTACTGTCACCCAGGCTACAGACACCTGTGGCGTGGACACTTGGGACATGCCACCAGTCAGGACACTGAAGGAAAGTCGGTGGTTGGCTGCACTGTCCCCATGTAGGCTGATTAAATCAGGGAGCATATCCTTTTCACCTCTAGCCCAGGCTGTGCTAATCCTGCTGCAATGAATACTTTCTCCCTGATTATAAAATCAGTGTAAATAATCCAAAGGAATTCAGAAGAAAGAAACTACACGATTTTCTGCTACTTGATTATAATATAGACAAGAGGCTAGGAAGATGGCTTACTGGGTATGGACACTTACTGCCAAGACTGATGACTTAAGTTTGATCTCCAGGACCAACAAAGTGGGAGGCGAAAACTCACCCCTGCAAGTTGTCCTCTGACCTCCACCTACACACTGACATGAACACATGAACACATGCACACAATCAACAAATGTTTAAAAAGCAGTACAGGGGCTGGAGAGTATGCAGGAGCCAGCCCTTGAGTTCCTGGTTTTTCCTTTAGTTTATTATTTAGATTTCTGTTAGCAGCTAATTTAATTTATTGTATATTTTAAACTTATTATGCTAATTTAAGCTTAAGAATTTGGGATTTTAGGGGCTGGAGAGGTGGCTCAGTGGTTAAGAACACTGGCTGTTCTTGCAGAAGACCCTGGTTCGAATCCCAGTACCCACATGGCAGCTAACAACTGTCTGTAACTCCAGTTCCAGGGGATCCGACAGCCTCTTCTGTCCTCCGTGGGCATTTCACAACACAGGTGCACTTACCTACATGCAGGCAGTACACCATACACATAAAATAATAATAAATAAAATATTTAAAAAACAAACAAAACCAGTACAGACATGGCTTTGGCAATTGCCACTCTGGATGTCTCTGTGCACACCTGCCCCCTTCTTGTCAATAGTTCTGAGCAGTAAGACAGATCAGGGACATGCTAGGAGTGACTGCCGGCCCTAGATGTGGTCTCTTCCAAGCCTAATGTGTAGCAAAAGGAACCCCCAACGCTCCCCTCAGAGCAGAGAGGGCTTGGTCCCTGGGCCTCAGCACAGAGCTGTTCCTGTAGCACATTCTGACCTCCCTGGTCCATTTGCACCTGGGTAAAGGACACGCCACTGAAAAATGGTCACCGACCCTCTGCCTGGTATGGCAAAAGGTGATCCTTGAATGAACCAAGAAGGCGGAGGTGCCTGGTGTGTCCACCGTCATAAAAGCTCTGGAGAAGTCTCCTGGGGGTGGATGTTCATTTAACACAAAGCCAGGACTGTTGGTCTATTCTGGGTGTCCACTGTGACAATAAAGAGCCATCAAAGTGCTGCTCTGGGCTTTGCACAGGGACATGTGGACAACAGGTACACTTGGCCTCAAAGACAAGGAGGCCAGTTTTCTGTGATCAGCTGAGGATGCTGGTGACTACTTTTGACATCACCCTCTTCCATGTTCTTCCCACAGAACACCCATATGGCCATCACCACCAGCCCCTCCCTTTCTGGGTCAGGATCTCAAGCTTTCTGACATACCTGGACCGAAGCTGGAGCTTGTGGCCCTTTGTCCCCCCCAGTGCTCTCACCTCATGGATGGTAAGTGCCTCATGACAACGTCCAGGGCCTGGATCGTCTCAAAGGGGACGCTGGGCAGCCGCCCCGAAAGTGCATCATGTAACGCCTGCAAGCTCACGCATGACACCCACTTGATGGACACCTTGAAGATGCGGTCCTTGCCTTCTCCCGGCAGCGTGACCTCCAGCTCCACCTGCCAAGCACAAAGGTCATTGTCCCAAGATGCAAAAGAAATTCCATTTTTAAACTTTGTTTATTTAGTGTGTTTGTGTGTGCACGGGTATGCGTGCATGGAAGCCAGGCCAACGCTGGGTGTTTGACCCAATCACGCTCCATCATGTAGCTTCAGATAGTCTCTCATTGAACCAGGAGCTTGTGGGTTAGGCCTGTTGGTCAGTGAGCACCAGAGAGCTGCCCGTCTCTGCCTCCCCAGCACTGGCATTATGTGTGTATGCCACAAGGTTTGACTTTCTACACAGATGCTAAGGATCAAACTCAGGTTCTCAAGCTTTTACAACGAGCACTTACCAACTGAGCCATCTCCCCAGCCTCAAATTTATTTCCTTTTGATGAATGTGCAATCACACAGCTGTGTGTGGCTGGCTATGTGACCACTGGCTACCAGACAGTGGTCTAAAACACATACTTTGGTCAGTCCTCAGCACACAAGGCACCATGACCCCCTCAGATGGCCACCTTCCTCCTGTACCTGCTTCTCCATGACTTAGAGCCAACCCACTGCTAGACCATCACTGTGTCTAGAGTGCATCGTGACTGCAGCCCCCAAACTGCTCAGGCGATGACCAAGATGGCATCACTGTGTTGACATGTTTCCATGCTTCCAGAACCACTACTACAGGTGATAAACTATTCACACTTCATCCTTAAGCATCCAAAGCCATTCACCACTTCCTGTATGCATCACCACAGACATGGAATTGGTAAACAGCCCGAGGACCCAGGGACAGGAAAGGGCAGAGGTGGAACTTGGTTCAGGCTAGACCACTGCCAAAGGCCCTTTCATTCCACACGCAATGCTGGTGTGTCAGAGTCTCAGCATAGGGCTAGGGCTGTCACTCACATGGAGACATGACCCAGATGTGTGACCACGGCCCAACAACTAGCACATACCCGACTCTTCACAGGCCTGCTGCCTCTACAGCACTGTACATCTTAAACACTATCGACTCAGGACCCTGCACCAGGTCAGTGTTATCTGAATGCCCAGTATAGCCACTCACTCGCCTGCCTGCACCCAGTACATCCACTCAACTCGCCTGCCTGCACTCAGTACAACCACTCACTCACCTGCCTGCACTCAGCTCCCACCTGCTCACCCTTGTGGCCTCCGTTACCTCCCACACCTTGCTAGAGGCTCTGAGCAAGAACCAGATCCCAATAATGCCTCCTGCAGAGTCCTTGTGGACATATCCTTTTCACCCAGACCAAGGTCCACTCTAGGAAGTTCTGTCCCCACTCTACCCAGCCACATTTAGAGCTCTGCAGCATCTGACCCCTCAAACTGGATAAAGTCCACCAGTGGACAAGGGCAGTAGACAAGAGTATTCCTCAAGGCAATCCGCCTTGAGCTTCTAACAGAGGAGAAGCTGTGCTGCAGCTGCGGAGCCCGTGGAAACCACAATGACCAGGAGATGCACCTGGGCTAAGTGACTGAGGTGCCAGGGCCAATAAGTTTTAGGATGGTAGTCTGGGGGCAGAAAGGACGGGACCAGGGGTGCCTGGGACAGGAAGGAGCCGCTTGGCTGTCAGTGAATGTTTGTTTCATTTGCAACATTTTAAGTCAGACAAAATTAACAATTACTAAATACAACACATCACACACACACACGACAAGGTGACAGGTGTCACTACACCCTGGTCCCCACCCCCACTTTTCGATCAGGGTGGACCACAGAAAGGGAGAAGAGCTGCACCCACCTCAGGGTGTCTGCCTCCAGAAAGGGAGGTGGAGCTACGTATGACCAGCCTGCGGCTTGTCTGTGGCCTGCCTGGGGTGGGAGGGATTCTGCATGCATCCAACACCTGGATGCCATGACAAAACAGTCCACTTGCCCAGGGCTCAGGCAGCAGGGAGCACGCCACTCATGAAAACCAGCATGTAGGTGTGACAAACCCTCATGGACCGTGGGCACTTCTAGCCTTCGTATTTCTACAAACAACAGTTCACCTGGCTCTATGCTGAAAACTGGTATCAACCAGATACTGGTTAATGTCACCCTTAAAGTGCCTCTATAATGGAAAATGAGGGAACCCCAAGGGGAGATTTCCCATATCAAAACAGGTTAACACTAAGAATACTCTAGTCCAGTCTCCTTATGGCCCAGAAAGAGCTGTGTCCACTGCAGGCTCCCAGCACTGTGCTAGTAACCGGGTCTAGACAAGTGTGCAGGGGCCTGAGGTAGAGATCTTTGCAAGGCAGCTGAATAGTCTCTGAATAGCAGGCCCCCTTTTATGCCCCGTCTGCTGGCCATACCCCTCTGGGCCCAGTAACAACATCCCTGGGCCCCAAGTAGAAGCGCAAATCTGTAGCCTTGAGGTCTGACCTTGGGTGGGTGGCTCCATCAGGCCCTTGGTACATGAGGGGAGAAGCAGACAGACTGCCCACTGACAGCACTCCTGCCAAACATGGAGGCTGATATCCTGTGAGCTGTTGATGGAGATGCCACAGCTGTCCTCTGGATGCAGACAGCTGAACATATCATGTGACACCAACCCGGGCAGGGACGAATCAGCTAAGGACTCAACCTCTCTGGGAACTGATGCTGAGTCATGCGCCCTGAATAGACATCCTTGTAAGGAAGAGGCAGTCGTGAGAAAATCCCCACTCTGGTGCCATACCACTAAGAAGCAGTGTGGGGTGGGGGGGATGGCACACAAAGAAAGTGTCAGAGGAGGCAGCACGCGGAAGCAGTTGTCTTCAAGTCTGCCCTGTGCTGATCTCAGCTGCAAGGCCGCCTACCCCTATCCATGTGGAAAGTGTTACAGCACCAGCAGGTGTCTGGTGTCAAGAGGACCCTCCTGGCTCCAGAGAGGGCGTCACACCCACTGTATTGGCCAGGCCAGACCAGGCCAGAGCAACAACCGCAGGGCTCAGTGGTGAGGGTTCTTTCCTGAGGGGAACATGCAGGTCACGTCCTGTCTCAATGTGCCCAGGGGTCTATATTTAAAGAGCTGCTGTCACTGTACCATCCAAACACACTTGTCCCCAAACCAGTGTATGTGTGAGGTGTGCTAGAAACCCAGAGGCACCCTAGCGAGTGCCAATGCAGACAGGAGGGCAGGTGGAGGCTCATCAGGGTCCTTAGCAGCACGTTCTGGATGTAGGCACAACAGGGGCCCATAGAGATGCCAATGGGGAGCCCTGTTTGCCTCCCCTCCCTGGGCCTCCTGGCCACCGGGCACCTTCACGGCAGCTTAGCAGTCACCTGCAACACTCCTATTGTGATAATGACTTTTACAAATATGGACATGCTCTGGGCAGATGGGCTAACCTTGCAACCAAAGCTAATCCTATCTTAGCTTGTTTATAGTGCAGACAAGCTCACTGAGCCTGTGCTCTTCTTGTGACCTGGGCAGATGCCTTAATCCCTCATGACTCTTCTTTGCCCTCAACCCAAAATAATGTATGAATGTGTGTGGATGTTTTGCATATTCAGGAAGTGCAACAAACAGTATGGGAGGGGGAGCACAATTCTTAGGGGACAACGAAGTTATGAAGATTATCCCATTTGTGTTGTAAGCAATGGATGGGATTCAACTGATAACATCTGTTTGTGGCTGGGAGCACTGGTCTAGGTCAGGAGGGGTCAGAAAGGGCAGAATTCTTCTCTGGATATAATACCTCAATAAAAGAAGAGGGAGTCCAGAGAGAATTCTGAAGCCACAGGTTCTCAGCAGTTTGGGTCCACACTTGACTTAAAATGGATGCCAGGAATCAGGCTGTTTTCATTCAAGCACAGCCACAATGCGGCAAAGCACACACCCTATGAGCTGGGCCTCAGTTATAACTTCCATCTAGGAAAGGGACACTCACCTCTCCCTGGTCTGGGAGACCGCAGCTCAGATGGTACATACCTGTGGGCAGCTGGCATATAAAGGCTGTGGGGCGAGAAACAATGCGCAACAGCTGTTTTCACAAAGAGACTCGGGACTTCAGCCCCAACGTGAAGCAATGTGCACAACTGCTTGAGTCTCTCCAACCCTGAAAACTGAGGCTGTGTGCCTGGTGGACACAGTTCTCTCAGCCCTCAGGAGGTGTCCTCTGTCCACATGGGGAGGCTGCCGAGTCCAACAGCAATGGGAGGGAACGAGGGAAGGCGCCGCGAGGCAAGCACGCTGTGCAGGTACCCAAGCCAGGCTTCACGCCCCATCAAACCTTTGGGCAGATGCCGAGCTGGTGGACGCATGAAAAGTCCTCTTTTACTCCAGATGACATAAAGGAAATGACCACAAAGAAGCTTTTCTGGTGGCACAGGAAAGGACAGCCCCTCTTCAGTGGTTCAGCTGCAAGGATTTAATCTGTCCCCAGCATGTCTAAAGTCAGGAAACCCCAACAGCTGGCCAAGGGCAGAAAGCAGGTCTCCTAAGCTCTCTAGGGCTCTAGTTGCCATATGAAAATGTACAAGGGTGACTGGGATTAAGTTAGGTACTGGACACCCTCTAGGCACCAGCCATGTGCACAAAGGCCTCCTGTGGGCACTGGGTACCCCCAAAATGCCCTGGATGCACAGGCTAGGGAAATCATGCAATAACTGCAATAATTGCACCCACTATACCTGCTAAGTGCTCCTATGTCCTGGGCAGGAGGCTGGAGCTCTGCAAACTTCATTATTCACCCTGCAATGTGGGGACCAGAAGGGCACCCAGAGCTGAGGAGAAGTACAGAGACCTGCAGCAAAAACCTGAACTGCAGCAAAGACCCAGAGACATACCACACACAGGAAAAGCAGAGCCACCCATCCCAGCTGTCCACTCTCCAGTGCAGGTGGTCAAGGCTGGGTGAAGGTGGCCTATCCCAGGTTCTGTCACCAGGAAACCTCACATCCCTGCCTGAGCAGTTAACTCGTATAGCTGCACGTCCTGCCTCTGAACATCGCAGACTCCCAATCACTTCTTTAAGACCACTCTGCCTATGTCCCTCCCAACATCTAATTATAGATACGTATGAGCAAAACTGTGAATAAACTCCTTATGCTTTTCTTTCTTATACAACTTCAAACAAAAACAAATGTGTAAATTCAATGCAAAACCTTAAGATCAATAAACCTCAAATTCACAGCATGTTAATTTGCCAGGGGGAGAGCCCGCTTGGCTCATTTCACACCCAGTCCTGGGATTCCCTCCAACTCAGAACGCAACACCCGTCATCCTATCCTGGGGTGGCAGTGACAACCCACGTGCCACTGGTGATGGGAATCACGAGACCAGAACACACAGAGCTGTGTGGTCACTGGCCTTGACCCCCACCTTCCTGTCAGCATGGTGACATGGAACATTGCTGCCTGGCTCTGCTGGGGATATACACAGGCAGGGGGGAGCTAAAGAGCTTAGTCACTCTCAGATGATCAGGAAGATGCACCTGCACAACTGTAAAAAATGTCCTGGTCCCCTGGATTCTCCAAAGAACACACTCTGTGGAGTGAAGGCAGCTCCAGAAAGAACCGGCTCTTACTTTCTGTGGCTACATTGCTGGCTGGTTCTCTCTCTCTCTCTCTCTCTCTCTCTCTCTCTCTCTCTGACGGAGAGAGAGAGAGAGACTCTAAGCTGGTCTCTCCTCTTCTCCCACACCACACACACCAACACCCCGCGTATA